ATTTATATTTGTATTTAGGGCAGAATAAGTTGATGAAGATCAAATTTAAAGACGCGTTAAGAAAGCAATGTGCAGATCCTCTTGAAGACAAGAACTTCAATACCAAGAATTAGTTTCTGTTTCTAAAATCAATTGATTTTACAATGAATCTTAAGGACTCATCTCCATGAAGAACAGTATCTTATAAACCTTGCGTGTGTACGTACATATTCCCTGCATAGGCTGCATTGAATTGCAAATTAAATTCTATGAGATTGCAATGTGTAAACGTTGCTTAATATGGAATATCGTAAAACTGTTGAAAGAGATAACTCTCAGAGAATTAATGGGATGCAGCAAGGGTTAAAAAAAAAACAAAGACTGAGTTTTTTTTTTTTTAAAAAAACCAAACTAAAATAACCGGTTTAAATATATTGATCAATTTGATTTGGAAAAAAAAACCAAACCAAATTGACCGGTTTAAATATATTAATCAATTTTGATTTAGTTCATAATTTTTGAAAATAATAAATTTTGATTTGATTAGTTCTTTTTTATCTATAAACAAAACTAACCAAAAATACTCGACCCTGGGGATGCATAGTTCATCATTATGGGAAAACCCTTTTGCTTCAGGTCATCGGTTTCCGATCAAGGCAGATGGGCAGATAGAAGGTTGGCGAAAGAAACCATAAATGGAAAAATAATTCGGTATTTTAGCCCACAGAATTTTTACATTTCATAAAGTGAATGGTGAAAAGTAGGAGTCCATGCATATCAATCTGATCTCAGCCAAAAGATTAAAAAAAGTAACAATCAGTAAGGGATCAAATTGATTAATTAGTTGACAAAATGAATTTCTCTTGTTTCTCTTTCAGGTGTTATTATCTTAGTAGTTTCATTCAGCGAGATGGGTTCGAGTCTTAATGATTTCAATTTATCTGATTATTATATGCTGAGAGGAAGCTATCCTCATTATGTAATTTAAAAATGAATGAAAAACTTTGATCGAATTAGTTTAAACTATTAATTTGAAATTTTAATTAATTTATGGTCACGAAAACTATGATCATGTTGAAAGAAAAAAAATTAATAACCATCAATCAAAGATTACAAATTGTGTGATATATTTTCTAAATCCTTTTGAATCAATTGGTTATTGTAATTGAATTTGATTATAATTAATATTTAATTTGAATTCAATTCATAAATAAATTAAATTCATAAATTTAAAAGAGATATAATTCAATTTGTTTTGCTTTTTATATTACTTTTATCATTTTTATTTTGTTTCTTTAAAGGTCTCTAAAAAAAATAGATGAGTATCTAGGGAAGCTAGTTTTAATACTTTTTTTTTTTGGATTTATAAATCAAAGAGGTTGACTTCGTATTTATTTATTTATTTATTAAATATTGAATTATATTAGAAATTTAATTACTGACAATTAAATGATTCTAAATACGAGATTTTAATAAAACCTACAAATTGAATTTAATTCAAAGAGTTTCATACATGCATTCTATTAAAAATTTTGCATATATAAGATGAAATTTATAACTTACTACGTATTTCATTTTCTTTTTTTTTAATAACAAAGAGTGTATTTCCACTTAAAGAAAATTATCTATTGAAATTTCTCCAAGGGAACTTACCTTTTGTCTTTACAGAAGATTATATTTTATTCAACTTCCACCATTATAAATAGAGGTATGGAGTGACTATGGACTTAGTGTCATAAGTTTCTTACCTCCCACCATTCCCATTTCTGATCTCTCTCACTCGCAAAACAGTACTTCGTAACCATATAGTTTTTGGGGCAGAAAATCCCTATCATTTCTCTGTTCATCTTTTCTCAGAGTCGTCTATCAACCAAAGTCCTCTTTTCACTCTTCCTCCTCCTCCACCTCCTCCTCCTATCAACAGAAAGCTTGGCATTTTAGTCACCAGAGGAAGGTTTTTTTTCATACTTATCCTTTGTTACACGTAAACTTCTCTGAATGGATCGCATCTTCACCAGTTCTGCTCTACACATCACTCTCATTTTGCTCACAATCTGCAAAGGTACTATTTGAAAACTACTGTTCATGCTAATTCTGATTTTCTTCTTCTTTCCTTGGATTTTTGTAGCTTGAAAATGTGTTTTAAATAATATGGACATGCACATTTGTAACAGGGCTATCAGGGGCTACGTTTACATTCATAAACAGATGTGGCTACACAGTGTGGCCAGGCATTCTATCCAATGCAGGCAGCACTCCATTGGGAAGCACAGGATTTGAACTCCCACATGGTGGATCACGATCCTTCCAAGCGCCTCCAAATTGGTCGGGTCGGTTCTGGGGCAGAACGGGTTGCACATTTGACCCAAATACTGGTCAGGGTACCTGCCTAACAGGTGATTGCAGCTCCAACCAAATTGAATGCAATGGTAAAAATGCAAACCCACCAGCCACTCTAGCAGAATTCACAGTCGGATCAGGTGTACTGGATTTTTACGATGTTAGTTTAGTTGATGGGTACAATCTACCCATGATCGTCGAACCGAATGGCGGGTCAGGTAGTTGCTTGTCGACCGGGTGTGTAACAGATATGAACCAGCAATGCCCAACTGAATTACGGGCCGATTCAGGGCAGGCCTGTAAGAGCGCATGTGAAGCCTTTGGGAGTCCAGAGTACTGTTGCAGCGGCGCGTATGCATCACCGGACACATGTAAGCCGTCGGTTTATTCAGAGATGTTTAAGGCCGCGTGTCCGAGATCATATAGCTATGCTTATGATGATGCCACTAGCACATTTACATGTACAGGAGCAGATTATATTATCACATTCTGCCCTTCATTAACAAGGTAAGGATTGTATGCTCCTGTTTTATTTTTCACTTTATTCTGTAACTATTTTATATTAGCTTGTGGCATACGGATAGGAAATTGCCGTGGCAGGCAGGCATTAGATTAATTGGCACATGATCTGTAAAATGAAAAGGGAAAAGTCTCTATTTTTTGAGGTTCTGTGAGAGGAAAACACTATTTATATAATATGTTTTCAAGCTTTAATCTTGGAGTTAAATTCTGATTATTATTTTTTATTTCATTCCACAGTCAAAAATCTGCAAGAGGCAATTCTCCACCAGCAAGCACAACAAATGGGTCTGAGACAGTATCGGGCGGTGGGCCAGTAGGAATGGACACTTCATGGCTGCCAAACTTTCTCAGCGGGGACTCGCCAAACGCCCTATCTTGTTCTGTTTGGCAATTTACCTTGATTCTTTCTACAATTTCCTGTCTTTTCCTCTCTTTGGTTCATTAATAGCCTCAATTTTGGACAAAAGCACATAGAACTTAAGTGGTCGCTCGAAACTCGTTTTGCATTGGATGAAATGGCTGATTAAATCCAGATTGTAGAGTGAATTTTCCAGACTGCATGTATAGAAAGTTTAAATATTTCCTTTTTCTTTGCAAGGAAGAATAACACACACACACACACACACATATGTTGTATTTCTTTCACCTTTTACGTTAGAGTAAGAACCATTTGTGATCTAAAGCAATGAATTAGAAAGGAAGACACTTTCGAGATCAGCAAAATCATTATTCTAATTGATTTTGATGGCATTCGAAAGAAAGTTGTTTGCTTTACTGTGAATCTTGATAACATGTTTGGTGAGAACCATCTAAAGGAAGCCCACTTTGCTGGAATTGCAAGCTTGGTGGATTTTTAATGATTTTGGCTACGATATGAGAAGTGTAATGATGCTGTCTACAAAAGGGCTATGCACCTATCATTTCCTTAAATCCATGAGACTAACCTTTGTTTCTTTGTCGACACTGACCACAAATCAAGTGATCAATAACAAAATTAGAGGAACTTTCGAAATTTATGGATGTTAAGTTGTTAGCCTTGCATAATCTAGTTTCCATTCTAAAAAGCCCCCTTAGCTTTCTCCGAAGTGGGTAGAAGGAACATCAATACCTGTCCTAAGATTAAGATTTGGGCCATAAGATGTAGATGGCAGACACTTACATCTTTCATTGAAGGAAATGACTAGTGCCCTGTCAAATCAATTAACATATGCATGCATTACAGCCACAACCCAAACTACTTAAAATGATTCCATTCTTGTAATTTGTTCGTGAAATTAGATGAGATAGATAATGTGAGATGTGATAGCTAGTAACATAAACAGTTTTTCTTGAATGACAAACTTCATGCAAATATAGTGAAATTGGATTTTTGTTGTTCAGAGGCTCCGGAAAGCTTAAGAACTCAAATTCGTGCACTTGATAGGTTACTCTTTACTTTAGCTTGAGGACCTCTATGCTATTCGATAGGCTTTGAATGGTGGGGATAGAAAAACCTGCCTGAGTGCATCTTTGACCTCTCCAAGCACTAGGAAAAGAAGAAACCTGTTCTGCCTATATAAGGTTTTTTCCCCAAATAGGATATTCTCTTTTTCAATGGAATGTACATTTTAATCCATCAGAAAGGACAAGGGTCCCAAATCCAAGCCAATGGCTAGAAAATTTTAGGATTCGGTCCCTCCATGATCAGGAATAATATGTTGCAAAGATGGTGCATTTGGCCATATGGTCCAATTTACCCACTGCCAAGTTTGTGGAGGCATTAGCGGCTTTGTACTAACCAATTCTGCTTTGGAATTTCTTAGTTCTCAAGAATACATTACTGATCAAGATTTTCTGTCAGTGGGAAATCATCGAAGGCATCATCTGGAATTCTGAGCCTCTTGTATTCATCGGCAAAGAAAGAAATGTGGAATTAAAGTTTGTATCTACTTTCTCAAGGGCCAAGGTAGATTACTTGTTTTTGGAGAGACACCCATGTCTAATATCTCTCAAAGATTTGAAGCTTAGAAGCTATCAAAATTAGAACTGAATCTAAAAGGATCCAACATCCTTGTTCAAGTCTAAACCTTTTCCCTATCTCTTGTGAGTCAATTTTAGTTGCGGCCAGTTCGGAATCAGATTTCCTGGTAAATTGAATTTGCAGGTAAAAGCTGAAGGTAACAAATTCTCGCGACGTTCATTTATGGGCCTTAATCGACCAAAAACTTCAGACCCTGTACCCGTGCACGGACTATGAAACAGGGAGGGGACCAAAATTCCATTTTTGCAGCTCATCAATAACTATGTGCTGAAAAGGTAAAATCCGTATGTATACATTAGCTCTACGGCCTACTATGAAGTTCGACTGTGAAAAATACATGAAGCAGTTCAGCTTCTCTAATAAACAGCATTACAGGAAAAAGGAATGCCTGAAAAAGGATGGAAATGGCACATTCTTTGGGCAATCTACAACTCATCCTTGACAGAAGAAGGTTCTGTATCCTCATCATCTCTTGTGGGTTCAGCTTCAGTGTTGGGAAGTGGCTTCTTTTGTTTACGTTTCAACTTCTTCTACATCATCTTCCTCTTCAATGATTGCATCTGGACTGATGCTCAGGCTAGATTTCACAGAGTTGTAGATACGAGAGGCAAACTCTTTGGGATCGTTGAGCATGAAGAGTGCTGCTTGGTACATCAGTTGGGCAGTTCGCTTCACACTATCGTCCCGGGGAAAGAAATTACCCATTAGTTATTAATGAAAGAAACAGAAATATTGCTCATAGACTGAAATTTTTTAACTGAGATGTGCAATAAAGACTTTCATAAATCATTTAGGACATTCTCCATCTGGTACGTGCGTTATTGCGGTGATTGTCTACCTCCAGAAAAATAAAATATAAAGGTTTATTTGGCAAAATAAAAAAACAATGAATTCTTGTCTATAATATAAAAAAAAAATAGATTGGAAGCCACTAACTAGTGTTTTGTTCACTAGAAACTCTAACTAGTCTTAAAGATAAGGTACAAAGACTGATTGTGTAAAAGAAATATATTAGCATCCTAACTACGCCCTATCTAAAGTAAGTTGTATTGTTTTGTGTAATAAAATCTAAGGTCTGTTGTGGTGTCTAAAATTTATAGATATATCTACAGTTTAAGAAAAGTCCTTCTTTGTAAGGAAATTCTTATCTTATCAGGTAAAAATTTAATTGTTCTATGTCGTTAATAAAAATATATCTTTTCAGAAATACATTTTATGTATAAATTTATAATCCCTGATACTAAAACAAAAATAAATAAATTTTTTATCGTTTTTGAAATTTTAGTCGTTGTTCTCTTGACTTTAATAAATGGGTTATTAAAGCCAAAATACATACTAAAACATTATTTTTTAGTGTATGAATAACACAATATGATTTTGTTAGCTTTAAAAACTCTTGGTCATATGCATACAAATATTTTTTTCTTTTTTTTTAAATGTTTTTGCATTTTTGAAAGCTTTGACGAAATTTAAGTGTTTTAATACTGGATTTGTATTTTTACAACATAAAAATATTGTCCGATATTAATCAAAATGACATAAAAACTGCGAGAGAATCACTAATGTTTTTTTGTTCAAATGGGTCAACAATGGCTCAACATAAAGAAAATGGACCAGCACCAACTTAACATAAAAATAAAATAGGCCGACACCGATCCAACATAAAAATACAATGGGCCAATGCTGGACAAAAACAAAATGGGCCGAGGCTGGCCCATTATACTATAATTGGCTGGTTATTGGCCTATTATACTATAATTATTTTTGTTTTGTTGCAAAATGAACATAAGACATACGGGGCGAAGAAGGAGAAGGAAGAAGAAAGAGATGAGGGAATTGACTAGCAGTGGTTGCTATGGCAGCTCGCAATGGTGCTTGCGGTGGCAGAGGTGACGGCGGTATTGGTTACAGCTCCTCCTTTTTTTTTTCTTCTTCTTTTGTCCCTGTTTTTTTCTTTTTTTCTTTTCGGGTCTTTTGTTTTGCTCCCTCTCTTCTCTTGTCTTCTTTCTTCTGTTCTCTCTCTTCTCTTGGTCCTCTATCTCTCTCTTAGTCTTTTTTTTATCCCCTTCCCCTGTTTTTATAGGTAAAAACAGGGGAGGGACGTGGCTAGGACAACCGTTGTACTGCCGCCCTACCGCTGTCCTTTCAACACATGGAAAATATGGGTTGTATCA